AAAAAAAAAAACAAAACAAAAACAAAAGAAATGAAAGAGCATGTGTCAAGAGGGTAATTTATAATTTTTACAGCTAACTAACTTATTTTGCAGTTAGGTTTAAACTTGAATCCTAACCCTAGTACTTGTAATTCGGGGGGGTCTATACGCTTTGTAAACATGAAGTAAGCTTCGTTTTATGTTTGTTGGTTGTAGCCTGTGAACCACACTGACAATTCTATATTCATAATTTACGTGAATTGGTCTTTTGCAGAGATTAGGCTTTTAGTTCCCGAATTGATTGGCAAAAGTTACATGACAACCTTTCCCAGATTGAAGAAGAGCGGAAGAGCCAGTTCCAAACATGTTAACCATAGTTGAGGTTTCATTATAGGCCACTAATATCTAAAGGAGGCTCATATTCAATTTATTTAGTAGCAACCAAAATTATAACACTCATCTCAGAATATTTATGAGTTAGCAATTGTCTAATAGAACAACAAAGTAAGAAACTTTAGGGTTTTGTTGAGTTGTTCGAGCCCCATCTAAACTGAAATCAACGTATTTTACCTCCTACTCTTGCCACAACCAATATGAAATATTCCTGAAATTAACTAGTAAAATTTGCCACAGTTGAATACATATACAACAAAGTTGTCCATAAGCGAAATGTTATCCACAAGCATACAGTCCGAGCACAAGGTAATAATTCCATAGAAGCTTATATCAAATCAACAACTGATCCGAACCAATAAAAGCAGCTATAGTAGCTCTACAAAAACAGATACCAAGAAATAAAGTGAGAAGCACGTACTTATTTGGGAAAAGATGTGCTTGCTTTAGCTTCAATGTCCTGTAGTCTAAGGGTTACGGCTCGCTTGTGGGCATCAAGTCCCTCGACTTCAGCCATAGTAGCTACATAAGGCCCGAGGTTCCTCAGCCCTTCTTCTGTCAATGACTGAACTGTAATGTACTTCAAGAACGAATCTAAACACACTCCACCATACATTCGTGAGTAACCATATGTTGGAAGAACGTGATTTGTGCCGCTTGCATAATCCCCAACACTCTCAGGTGTCCACTGACCCAAAAATACAGAACCTGCATTTAGTTGTAAGTTTTAATAACTGAAAACGATGTATACACAGCTTAAGCATGTACCTGCATATGCAAATGCTGTGTAGCTTAAAGAAGAATTAAAGTGAATTTTTTTCTAGAAAAAATGCTAGCATCCGCACCAATCATGAATAGCTTAAGGACATGAATTTTACATCAAATGTATAAGTGAAGTGAAATAAGCACTGTGATTGGCATCACAAATTTAGAATATACTACACCAAGATGCATAAGCGTACCTGCATTCTCAACGAACGATTCCCACTTTTCAGCATCTTTCACGTTGATTATTAAATGCTCAGGTGCATAGAGATTCGAAAAGGCAATTGCCTGCAAGTGCAATATCAGTCCATGTTTGTCTAAA